AGCAAGTAGAGACGCACAACCGCCACGGAGTTTGGTTTTGAGCCTTGACTTTCACGGTTTCCAACCAGCGGCACTTAGCATTTTTGGGACCCATGCAGGGCTGAAAGATCCAACCGCCAGCTGCTTTGTCAGCCATTTCGTCCCGCTTTTCCAAATTTTAGGCTGTCCACGACGTCGCCTACTTCAGATCTGGCCAGCGACCGCGAACAATCCATGACGCGGAAGTCGTTGAACGGGTATACGCAGTACGTGTCCGAGCCATTGAAGTTAGCGCAGCGAGACAAACGCATCGTTGGAGAGGCTGCTTGCCCCCAAAACACGCTGTCTGACTTTAAGCTTGGTTACGTGACGCAGCCACCACACGCGGCAGATGGACTGCAACCAACGGTTCTCTAAGACAGACAGTCGACGCAGGTCATCGGTACGAGTAGGACAATTCTCGCAACTGTACAACAGTACAGCGCGGACACGCACACGTTAACCCTACCCTTTGATGAGGAGACAGATGTCATGGCAGTGTCATAAATGCTTGAGCCTGGAGAAGGCGAGGCTACCTCTTGAGATGGGCAACGGAATCTCGTCTCCGACAGCCCACCAGCAGTGATTCAGCTTCCCAGGTAGACAAAAATCTTTACAACTTCCAGCATCTCATTACCGACGTTGGGTGCGGGTTGCGGCTTCTGCCAGTCTTGAAAAGGCGATTTGCAGGTGGATGGTGAAAAGTGCATGTCGTACTTTTACCCTTTAATCTCCAGGCGGTTAAATGCAATTTCAACGGCCTGAAGGCCGTCACTTAACTAGACGACATCATCAGCGTAATACAAACCAACCACCCTACTATCTAGGAGGAGCTCAACGCCAGCGTAAAACCAATCTCCTTGAACATTTCTGAGGACATTCTCGATGGCAAAATTGAAGAGGAGTGGAGAGAGTGGATCCTTGTCGAATCCCACCGGTCAAAACAAAAGAGGGCGAAAGTTTATCATAAGCCCTAACTCAACCCGAGGACAGACTATACAGAGCACGCAGTACGGAAACGTATTTCACAGGAATGACATTCCTCAACCAACAGTGCCACAATGCAGTCCCAACGTCAGAGTCGAAGGCAGCACTGATATGCCAAAACACAACACTCTTTGGCTTTTATTACACCCGACGGAGCTCAAGCATCTGGCGGAGGGTGATTATCTGCTCGATGCAGCCATGACCATGTCTGTTTCTTTCGTTGTAGGGATTCACGCATTGGGGATAACTTGCAAAGAATAATGGACACCAGATTCTTGCAAACGAGCGTAACCAAACACAAACCCCTGTAACTAGAACACATTGTGCACAAGTCTATTTGTAGATGGGGATAACTATCGACTCACTCCAGGATGATGGAACCTCTTTTTTGCCCAGACTTTTGTGAATACAGCAGTGATTTCTTGAACCAGCGTATGACCCCATCTTTAAATAGAGCAGCAGACTATCAGGGCCGGGTATCTTATAAGACTTAAGACAGCAGAGTTCTGTCAACACTCCCGGTGAGAAGGAGGAGAGTGGGAATATTTCACTCAGTACCAGTGCACACTCCAGAGGAAACAGGTGGAGCTGGTGGCCAGGAAAACTGCTAGCGAAAATGTTCAGCCCATCGCTTCAACCGTCGTTGAAGCTTAGTGATTAGGGAGCCATCACCTTCGCAGACTTACTCCAGATCGGAAGCCTTCGGCGACTCGTGTGAGTTGGAACAGGAATGGTATTACCATAGATTAGCAAGTTCCATCTCTCTAGCGCGTTCACACCACTTGGCCGAACGGCCATCAGCCAGACACCGGCCCAAGCATCGTGATTACCTAACTCCCAAGCGATCTGTGTGAATAAGGCAACGGATAGCTTTCGCCGTCATACCACTGACCGAATTATTTCAGAACAAACCTAGGAAACTCAATTACTCTCCATCCCTTTGTACTTTAACCTTATATGATTTGTACCGGCCTATAGATGAACCCAGGAATACTTGTTACTTCTGTGTGGTGTAAGCCACTCCGGGGATGGCAGCTCTCGAGAGAACAACAATTTAGATGGCACTCCAAACCACCATCTCTGATGGAACTTCACCTAGACTGCCGGTCGTGCTAAGGTCCCCTGCGCTACGTTGGTCATATACTCCCGTAAATAGCGTTGGTGAGGAAACAATATGGTAAACAGACACCGAAGTTTCCTTCCAAAGGGTGTCATTACAAAACAGCATGAAAGCGCGTCAAAAGGCCACTATCGATTGCAGCTTACCACTTCCCCTATATTGACATAGGGACTCGCTAAAAGTTGAAATCTAGGATCAACAATTCGGCACCAAGAAGTGCGTGACACTGTAACATTTGCTTCTGAATTTGTTATTCTTGAACCCACTATTGGATAATCGCTACATCTGCTCCGCGTGTTTTTGGATCGTGCCTTTACGTCATTTAGCCTATGTATGAGAATTAGAAATTTGATGACAAATTGAATAAAAGGGACTGCTTCCAGTACACATGTGTCGTAAAGAAGCGGCTATCTTCTAATGTGTATGAAAGACAAGTTGTTTCTTTGCACCAGATCCTAAATCAATTCATGCCTTCTGCTAAAATTAATGAAGGTGCGTCAAAATAAGGAAAAGTTTGAGATTTCTGTTTGTGTCCTACTTACCGAAGTTCAAATTACGAAACTGTGGAGCGATATGCTAGACGGGCAAATAACTGTTGCAAACTATTTTGGCATTAACTGCTTTGCAGAATTCAGTGTGTTCATATACAGCTATCTATAGTCATCCATAGTCCAGTGCTGGATGGTCCGGATGGACAGCCCCAAACCTCCAGCACTGAGCGTGCGTCGGCGTTGATGGCGCACTTCGCTTCTGTATTAGCAAATGACCGGGTGTCTGTTCCGAGTTCGAGGTGTATCGCTTTTACCGAACGCAGTAGTCTGGATTGCGGCGTTGAAGAGGTATGTCAATTGCTCGCCAGCCTTGACGGCACCAAGTCAGCCGGAACTGACGGGTTTCACCTATTGATTTTCAAGTCACTTTCCGCCATCATCCCTCCTATCGTGACTGGCCTTGCAACAGGTCGCTGTCCCAAGGTTCGTTGCAGATTGACTGGAAATGTTCGGTGGTGAAGTCTATTCCGAAAGGAGGCGACCCTAGCAAAGTAGACAACTACAGCCTAATTTGTCTGATATCTATTTTGGCGAAGATTGCTGAGAAAATGGTAACCAATGGATTATTCCAGTTGCTACAGCCCTGACTCCCGCACAGCACGGTTTGATACAAGGCCGCTCATGTATTACAAGCTTGTTGTGACGAGGCATGAGTGGTTGAAGGCAATAAGCAAGGGTAGTCTGTCGACATGAGATTCATCGATTACAGTAAAGCGTTCGACAAGATCAGTCATGAGGTTCTGCTTCACAAACTTAGGATGTGCGGCGTCGGTGGCTCATTGCACCAGTAGATCTTGTTGGACGAAAGTAGAGGGTTCAGGTCGACGACCATATGACTGATATCCCAATACAAGTGGCTTGCCTCAAGGCACTGTGCTGGGGCCCACTCTGTTCTTGATCCACATCAACGATCTACATCAGCTTCTCCAGTCTCCGGTCTCTGTTTGCCTTGTTTGCGGATGACATGAAAATTTGGAGAGAAATTGACGCTCCCGAGGACTGTGGCGTGCTTCAACGAAACCTCAACCATCTATCCACATGGTCTGCAGAAGTTCATCTACCGATCAGCCCAGACAACTCTGTTGTTATGAGCCTGGGGAAGGGTGCTGACGGTCGAACCTACACCCTTGACGGCCAAACACTGTATGCCACACCCTCGGTGAAGGACGTAGGTGTACTCTCGCGCTACGTTTTGAAGTCCGTGGAAAACACTAACATGCTATATCGTTACGGACTGCATATACTTGGAGCGCCCAAACGTAGCTTCGACACATGGTCTGAAGAAGTTGGCACTCTCGTCTTCTCTTCCATCATTAGACTAATGCTAGAGTGCAGTTAGCCGGCCTACTTTCCGATTACCGGAGGCGAGGTACACAAGATCGAACGTGTCCAACACGTTGCTACCGGGCTCATTCCTGGTTTCCGTGGCTTGGGGTATGAAGACCGGTGCGAGAATAGGACTCTACACCTTGTCCAACTGTCGGGTGCGAGTCGACCTCATTATGACCTACCGTATCCTACATCTCGGTGAATTCCCCATGCTGACGCCAATGCTGCACCTACGAGGGCCACGCAGCACACGCGGACACAGATGCAAACTTGTCGTGCAGGTTTTGAAGCGAGTTCCCCACCCACTGTGCTTCGAACGGAGAGTGGTAAATATTTGCAACAGTTTGCTTGAACATGTGATGGAGGCAATATCTGTGCACCAGTTTAAAACGTTGTTAGATTTATATTTCACCACTATTTGATTCAGAGAACGATTACACACTTACGATGACATGTCACGTTTGTGAGTCCTGCAATAGCTTGTGTCAGATAATTTAGTTACACGAGAACGATAACGACATTCACGGCTGAGAATATTTTATAACGTTGTTCCTATATTTCGAGTGCTGTTAAGAATTCATTTTTACTTGCTCAATAATACAGTTTTCAGTATACAGTATAGTTACCTAGGAGTGGTCGCATCACTTTTATCCTAACTCGGATACAAGACCTTTGAAAAGAACGAGCACATTGCTTGGCCCGAAAGTATCCTATTCCCACACCTAACACCTTAAGTAAGAGGTGCCATGTGGACAGGTTCTAAGACCGCCGTTTACAAATACAGGCTTTTGATTTAAAACGCAGGTTGTCCACCACTTTCACGCTACTACAGTCCTTCGGCAGAAGCCATACGACACTCTGAGTAGACTTTTCTGAAAGCTTTGTCAGCGATTTTGTGGTTTCATAAATAAAGTTTATGAGAGCAAATAACTTGGCAAAGGTAGGTACTGTACGGTTAAAGCCTGAATTTTTACTATGAACATTCACTTTTTCAGAGCTCAAAGAAGCGAAAAAAGGGAGAGTTTATCCCCTATCGAGATTCAGTGCTGACATGGTTACTTCGAGAGAATCTAGGTAAGTGCGTTGCGTACCACCCTTCTCGATGGTGCACAGTTGTTCCAATATCACATCATCAGCATGAAATGTGTTTAGTTAACGGCTTTCGACGCCACTCACCTTGACCCTAACACCAACGGTAAGTGCCAAAATGGGTTAGTATGGTACTCGCTGTCTGGCTACATCCCTCATAAGTTCTCACTCACTTATGAATGTTAAAAGTAATGATTTTTCTAGAGTCACTAATTGAGTTTCTCATTAGTTCTAGACATCATGATGCATGCATTAATTATTCTTCCAAGGAGCATAATAACTGTTTTTGTCCACTACATAATAACCTTTCTTCCAAGGGTTTGAAATGTGAAATTTAATTTTTCGCACTGCACCCACCCTAAAGGCAAGCTTACTTATGGATTACGCAAAATCATAAGCATACTGTACAAACAAGTAATAGGGCGGAAGCATTTTTGGTATGACACATTTTACTCCACACATGGGCATTTTTCCTTGCTAAAGTATTCCAGTACATCCGCGCTGGTTGTATGATTGCTGAAAATAACTCCTTTGGGTACATGAAGCAGCTTTGACTTGACTTGAGTTACTCAGCAAAAAAAGTTGCTCGTGACTGAGCAGATTTGTGGCACGCATGAGAGTGCCAGAAGACGACAACAAGAGTTGCCCGAATGTGAGCAAGAAGTATAAATGCAATGAATAACACTTTATTGTTTCCATGGTGAGGAAACCCCTTCAGATCAATACTAATAGAACGATTGGTATTATTGCACAATGTTTATGCCGAACATCAGCTCAGTTCCTTCGTTTTGTTTAACACACTCGATTTCATCAAAATAATCTGAATTTACATATTTCGCTTCTTCTCATAAGCTGTTTACAGGCAATCTGTGGAATCAGTATGTTATACAAAGTGGCATGACAAAGCGTGAAACCGGTTGGTTTAAGTAATGGTAATCGATTACCTCAACAGGTTATCCGCCATACAAGTGCACATTTTGTATATAGGAATGAAGTCTGGTATTTTTCAAATGGTCCCTAAAAATATCAGTTAGGACTGTCCAAAGTGGACAGCTCATGGCCATCCCCCTATTTGTCGATACATGATTCCATTGAATTGGAATTAGGGACTTGTGATAATTCATCGGGATCCACACTGTTCGCATGAGGTCATTTTTCCATAAAGTCTCTGTAAACATCTGGCAAGATGCGTAAGCTCTGGATTCAGGTTATTCCGTTGAGATATTATTTTTGCTATTTTGTCGGTAGTAAAGAGAAAGTCTGTATGAGAACTGTGACCTCCACCGGCCAAACATTGAAGGCTGCGTATGCAATGATGCCAAAAGCCGAACAAGATTGTATCACGACAACTACGCAACCAGTGAACGCTAAAGTACAAAATTGTTCAGGATCCCTGTGTATTACCGTCAACAACCAATCGCATTTACACAACAGGGAGGAAAGTACTGTCCAAGCTAGAGGGCCAGAGGACTACTGAGCATGATGGAAGTGTGAAAGCGTTAACAAAACGAAGGTCAAGCATTTACGGCCCAATCACAGAGCGAGGAAAAGATGAAGGGTCAACAGAATGGTTGGCGGCATCCGGTTTCGGATTTGCCTGTCATTGTGGCCAGCCACAGGACGCCTACGCCTACAGAGAGACCATGGGTGGCATGCGCTGCACCACCCACAGCTGCAACCACATACTCCATATCCCGTGTAAATCCGAAGGAATAAGACCGGGAGGCATGTGGATGGGAGCAAAGTTTCATCAACGGAGCCGGCCCACAATCCCTCACAGGCAAACACAAGCACGCTGTATTTGGGAATCAAGCGCACACAAGGCTGTGGCTGGACCGTAGTCTGCTCCACACTGAATGCATGGAACCGCTATTTGAGCCTAGCATGGCCACAAGGACCGTTCACCCTGTCCCCTCCAGCAACGACCAGCTGTCTTCTGGAGCCAGTATGAACAAGATAGGGGGTAATAGAGAGGTAGGCACCTTGTCAACATGTAAATCAAGCGCAGCCACACCGGGGATATCAAGCAACAGCCATTCACTTTAAACGACAAGCTGAAATAAAATAAATCCAATAATGCATACAGATACGGTGGCATAACTCTTCGCTAAATCACCATATGAAGTAAGTTGGTTAGCAACGAATCCGCGATAAATGAGCAATGTCCACGAGTTACTTAAAAATGCTACAGACGCAATAACGTTACCGAAGATAAGCGCAGTTTGTGTAAGCAACGTGGGCAGTTAATAGAAGATTATTCAGGTAGGCGGAACAAACCAAATAAAGTGGAATGAAATTTATCCAGCTTAAAAAGACCTAGTTTAAGTGTAAGTTGGTGTAGCCCAACTGCGTTGAAGAAGCATCAAGAATGCAACATCAGCCTCAGCATGGGGTATGGCCAACAGAATGCTTGGCGGCATCCGGTTTCGGATTTGCCTGTCACTGTGGCAAGCCACAGGACGCCTGCGCCTACAGAGGGACCATGGATGGCTTGTGCTGCACCACCCACAGCTCCAACCACATACCCCATATCCAGTGTAAATCCGAAGGAATAAGACCGGGAGGCATGTGGATGGGAACCACGTCTCATCAATGCAGCCGGCCCACACTCCTTCACAGGCAAACACAAGCACGCTCTATTTGGAGAATCAAGCGCACACAAGGCGGTGGCTGGACCGTAGTCCGCTCCACACTAAGTGCATGGAACCGCTCTTTGAGCCTAGCACGGCCACAAGAACCGTGCACCCCGTTCCCTCCAGCAACGACCAACGGTCTCCTGGAGCCAGTATGAACGATGTAGTGGGTAATAGACAGGTAGGCACCTTGTCAACATACACATCAAGCGCAACCATACCAGGGATATCAAACAACAGCCAAACACTTGAGAGAGAGAGAAAGAAAAAGAGAAAAACTCGATTAATGCATAAGGAAACGGTGACATAAACCTTAATTAAATAGCATATGTAATAAGTTGTTTACAAACAAATCCTAGCTAAGTGCACGAGGTCAGGAAGTATAGTTCACGGAATGCCACGAACACAAAAATGTTATGGAAATCGAATACAATTGGCTTAGGCGATGTGTGCAAGTTAATGGAATAGACTACAGGGAGATATTTATATGAGAGAGAAACGCATTAAGGTAAAAACTGTAAACCCACCACCTGCAATAAAGAGACGGAGCATGCAAGCACGCGGTTAGTAAATGGAATTCAGCGTGCCTACAAACGCTGCGCCGGCTCGCCGTAATTCTCTGTAGGATCCGTCGTTTCTTCTGTAGTGGACCCAAAGGACCTATCTCATGGCCCACTAGCCCACTAGACATTTATATGAGAAAGAAAGGCATTAGGACAGAACCGAAACCCACCACCTGAAATAAAGAGACTTAGCATGCAAGCATGCGGTTAGTAAATCGAATTCAGCGTGCCTACAAACGCTGCGCCAGTGCTGCCTACGTTCACAGCGGGAACCGTCGACGCTTCGGCAGTGGTCCCGAGTGACCTCTCTCATGGCTCACTAGGGCCTGCCTGACTAAGGCACTCGCGACCGCATGTTCTACAGCACCATGCGCTCGATGTCGACGGAGTACAATTCATCGGTGCTTGACGCTTCCGCAACGGCCGCTTCTTCGCTGCATGCATGAGGGCTTTCTCCCGCACCTCAGCAACTGCCTTCGTGATTAGCTCGCGCCATGCACCACGATCAACCGCCTTCGATTCCCATGATCTGCAATCAAGGTTAGAACGTGTGAGGCTCACTTTAATCATGTCCTGGTAACGTAACTATGGTTTCCCCACGTGCCGCTTCCCAAAACTCAGCTGACAGTATTAAATTTGTTTCGGTATCCGCGTCGAATCCATACGGCTAACATGACCGAGCCATCTCAGGTGTCGCAGTAAAAGTATGCCGTAAACTGCATACATCCCACTTCGGCGCAACACTTCCGTGTCTGCGACTCTGGCGCCCCAAACGATCCGCAAAATGCGACGCAGACACTGCTGATGGAACCGCCCGAGATATCGCACATCCCGACGGTCTATCGTCCACGTTTCACTGCCGTATAGAAGAACGGACAGTAACATGGATTTGTACACCATCAGCTTCATGCCAATGCTAAGCTGATGGTTGTTCCACACTCGGTACTCAAGCTTCCCGAATGCCGCTGCAGCCTTCGACACGCGATTACGCAACTCAACGTGTAGCTGCTGATCAGTCGATGTCACACTACCAAGGTAGCAAAAGCGGGAGGTGGTTTCCAATACTTCAGCACCAATGCTGATTTGCGGCAATATTGAAGATTGCACTTCCGGTGAAGGCTGAAAGAGAGACAGTTTTGCTTGTGTTGATGGTGAGCCCGAATTTGGCAGCTGCCGAAGCCAGAGCAATAGTCATGTGCTGCAACCCATCCGCCCTGTGTACAAACAACGCACAGTCGTCAGCAAACAGTAACATACGGATAGTTGTCTCACAGACTAGAGTTCCCGCACCGACACGACGGATGTTCAGCAACCCACCGTCGATTCGGTGCTCCACACGAACACCGTAAGCACAAGCCGCATCAAAAGCACAAGACAACATTGCATGAAGATAGATATTAAACAGGGCAGGAGCTAAGACACAGCCTTGCTTCACACCAGAGACAACTGCAAAGTCATCCGAGGTCTCTCCACTCAGCTGCACCCTCGCTCGCATACCACTGTGCAGACATTCAATTAAACTTACAAACTTACGCGGGCAACCAAACTTACCCAACACCAGCCACAGTGCCTCGCGGTTCACCGTATCAAATGCCTTGGTGAAATCAACAAAAAGCGAGTACAATGGCTGGTGTCGTTCTCTGCACTTCTCTTGCAACTGACGAGCCGCAAACACCATATCTATAGTGCTGCGACCCGAACGGAATCCACATTGCTCTTCCGCCACGTTAGGTTCCACAATCTGACTCACGAGGCGATTGAGCAGGATTCGGGCAATCACCTTGCCCACACAACTCAGCAAGTTGATGCCACGATAATTCGTGCAACATTGCTTGCTACCTTTGCCCTTGTACAGTGGTAGCACAAGGGCATCCTTCAGCTCAGCAGGCACCTCCTCCTCAATCCACACGCGTTGCACCAAGTGGTGCAGCGCAGTCAACAACGCGGGTCCCTCGTGATTCAATACTTCAGTGTGGATACCGTCACCTCCGGCACATTTGCCGTTTCGCAGCTGAGCAAGTGCTCTCTGCGTCTCATTTATTGTCGGCGTATCCGCCAGATCCGCCTTCACATCGTGCGGCTTGATGCCGTTCAATGTAGGCCAGTCAATCTCTGAACGGTTGTTCAAGAGACAGTCAAAGTGTTTCCGCCAGACCTGCATTAGGTCTGCAGTCTGGGTGCAGGTAGCGCCTGAACTACCATCGATCAGTGTCCTCAGCGGCTCCAATCTCGGTCCATACACCGCCTTTAGGGAGTCAAAAGATTCCTTGTGTTGAAGGCATACGGCGTAGCATCCCATCTGCTTCGCCTTCTCCGTGCACCATGCATTTTTAATACGACGGAGCTCTCGGGTCAGTCGCCGTCGAAGTTTTCGAAACTGACTACTCGTCCCCAAGTCACTGGGGTCTGCCACATGTGCAGCAAATGCTTCATTCTTCTCTGATAACAATGGGCCAATCGTCACATTGTTGTCATCAAACCAATCAGGCCGCTTACAGTTTGAACGCCCGATGGTCTCCTCGGCAGCAGCTGTCACCTGGTCGCGAAAGTGGTGCCACAGGTCGCCCACTGTGGCTATGCAGTCCACATCACCACACAGGCGTGCAGCCATCGCCTTCTCCAGCTCAGTACGTTTCGCCACAGTACCGAGGGGAGAGAATGTTAAATTTACGCCGATTCACGGCGGGAGTGCAATACATAGATTTACGAAAATATATGTACAGTTTGGTCCGAACCAATTTGTGATCAGTGCCACACTCAGCTCCACGCAGTACACGTGTCATGCGCACTTCACGCATATCACGCTGACGTACGATGACATAGTCGAGCAGGTGAGCGTGACCACTCCGTGGGTGCGTCCAAGTTTGCTATATCACTCGCACTCAGTGCAAACCGAGTGTTCGTGATCGTCAGGCCGTGAGTGGCACACAGTGAGAGCAGCCTGTCACCCTGCGCATGCGCTGAACCAAAGGCATGCGCACCGATAACATCTGTCCACGCTGATGCACCTCGCCCAACACGCGCGTTGAAATCACCCAGCAGAAATAGTCGGTCGCTCCTCGGCACAGACCGTATCACGGAGGATAGCTCAGTGTAGAACTGATCACGCGTGTCATCAGGATAACACATGGTCGGACCGTACGTGCTTATAAAGGTAGCAAACTTACCTCTTCCGAGTCGTAGGCGAACAGTAATCAGTCGCGCGCTGATGCCCGTTTGTTCACCCACCAACTGGCCATTCAGGCGATCGGATATTGCAAATCCGACCCCATGTTCACGTGGTGCTGAGGCGGCGTTGCCCACTCAGTAGAATGTGTAGCCAGCACCTGCTTCATGTAACTTACCTTGCTTAGCGAGCCGGGTTTCACTGAGCACCGCAATATCGATGTGGTAGCGCGCCAGCTCCATCGCGACCAGTGCAGTGCGTCGCTCCGGGCGCTCGCTGGAGTTCCGGTCCGTTAGTGTGCGCACGTTCCAGCACCCGATGCTGAGTGCTTTGCGCGCAGGCATACGATTGCATTGGTGGGCAATCGCACGCGAGGTGGTCGTTGTGCTTCGGAGGTTTGCTTGAGGGACTCCACCCGGAGCCTTTGGCTCAATAGCTTGACCCACAAGGCAGTGGGTGATTCGGTGGTTTGCTTGAGGGACTCCGCCCGGAGCCTTTGGCTCAATAGCCTGACCCACAATGCAGTGGAGAGCAGATCCAGCTCGGGAATGTGATTGCAGAGACAGATTGGGATCTGCTTGACGGCAGTCACACGCAGCCTTTGAGGTTCTGGAACAAGTATCATATGTTTTGCGACCGTAGTAGGATACGAACCTGCGACCACGGCCAGACGCAGGTGGGTTTTTGGCGGGTTTGCACCAATTTGACCAGGAGCTGCCTGGCTTGAGGCGGGCAGTAGCAAACCATTGAACACCCGGAGGTGTCCTTCCACCGTCAGAGACAATGCGTAGCCCTCGTGCTCTACGCCAATCGAGCTTTGAGAATATAACCCGTAAACCTGTTGTCTCCCATGGCTAGGTTTTACGTGACGTGGGCCATCGACCACTTCCTAACCTCCGGAGAGGATGGACTAGAATACTGCCAGGGCGCCCAATCCTGACAGGAGAACGACTCGGGTCCTCAGCCAAAGCCTTCGATTAAATGAACACCCGAAAGGCAGCGAGTCTAGCACATGGTCATTTAGCCGACTCATGCTGATTGGTGTCCTGGATCTTAGCAGGGAGAAGGGCGAAATCCAACTCCCACCCAGCGGTCGCCACGTGGAGGCGCCCAGGACACGAGACTATGGCGCAGCAGTAGCAGCAGTGGGTAGACCATCTGTCAGGATCTAGCCACCACCAGTCTCAGCGCACCATAGGCTCTCCCGCCGGCCAACAGAATACACATATACAAATAAACATGGTGTCAAAATTGATGACAAAGTGGTAACAATGGCACAACGTCCTGGAAATGGCAACATCAGACCTAGTGGATGGATCATTTGTTACGTCGAAACAAAAGTACAATGATTTCAAATATTGTTGTGAGGGAATGGAAGTGAAACGCTCGTGTGAACCACTGGACAGGACCATGAGCATACAGAGGATTGCACGATTACTAAGGTAAGTGAATGTGTGGGATTAATTGGGTGATTGCAGTATCCGGGTTTTTGAGGTCACGGTTCGGTGCACGAACGATTCTTCCAACGAAAATGAGAGCCCATTTGGGTAAACGCCAAATTAGTCCAAGTGTCAACCAACTGCACTTTGCAGGGGAATTTTCCAATCAGTGCAACACTCCGCTATCGAAACACACCATCCTGTTTATAACAGCGTAAAATGCTCCTGGCTACTAGCTTGATCTCATGAGAGGGCTTACTAGCTGGTCACAAACATACCAAGATGGGTGTTGAAATTCAGTTATTTGGCATCTCTTGTCATCTTTTCGCCAAAAATTACAAAGCGAGTGCACAAAGCGTGGTTGCTGTTTTACATACCGAATGTGGAGATTGATCATAAAGTCCTTCACGTGAGTTATTAGTAAACGGGACATTTCCATTAGTTGTCCACCGTCGGGAATGTGAATGATTGAGTATCTGACGTTACACAAAAAGGATAACATGGCTTTACTTGTTACTACAAAACCACTGCTTTCAAATTTGTATGTCTTTCACGTTTCGTATATTAACATCATACGCCACCAATCTGCCAATGTGTAATTACTTTTAATCCATCCACCCCTTTAAATAAATATTGCCCATATCATTAATGCGTAGGGTATAATCCGATTGACCATTTTTATTTGCCGCAACAAGTATGGAGCTATCTACACACTTTAAACAAGCAAAGCTGCACTAGCCTGTCTATCATTTGATGCGATTTTTCCCTGGACACGACCAGCGACTTTCCGCTTTTTTCATTCACACTATGCAGGCGGAAACTCATGCACAACCATGATAGCCACGTTGTCACCAGCGGATATAAATTACGAAGAAACCTTATCCACTTTGCGGTACGCAGATCGTGCGAAACGTATCGTGTGCCAAGCAGTAATAAATGAAGATCCGAATACTAAATTGATTCGGGAACTGAAAGCCGAAGTCGCACGTCTTCGAGAAGTTTTGGAGTTACAAAGTCGCGCAAGTTAGTCACGTATATACAGAGACCCTTTACATGCATTCGGAATGTGCGGTTTAGTTTGTTGATAATATTCTCGGAGAATGCTGCTGAAATAGCTCGCAACTAGTTCAAACTAGTGAAATCACCGCAACATTTATAAAGTCAACAGTTAGATATCGGAAAATCACTGTATTATCGCTCTGCAATTCCAGAACTTGCCAACAGTGGCAGTCCCATACCATCAGTTCGCCACTTAGAATTCAACATCGTTCGGTTGTGGAGATAACGGATGTGTACCTAATGCGATGTCTGGTTAAGTAGAAATGCTTTCCGTGTAGATACAGGCTATGCGAAGGGTATATCGCTGTCGAGTATGAGGAGGTTGAAGCAACTTTTCATTGCATTTCCTGGCGTTTGATGGCCGTTTAGTTTTCTACGCCTCCAAGTAATATATATTTGAACCATATGGGAATAACCATGTGTTAATCGGTAATTAGGTTATAACGGGGCTATGACAAAGTTCAGAAAAGTTAAATTCGTCTTACTATCTTACAAGCACAGTTTGGCAGGTTTGACTACCTTCTGGCTGCACAAATAGAAAATATTTAACTGGTGGTATCCTCACAAGCAAACTGAGTGCACATTTTAACCTGCTCAGTGATGTGAACCATATTAATCCCAGCACACTTGCTACCAGAACGGACTCCATCTTAACCAACGACGAGTGACTGTCGCCCGTAGTCCCTGGGCTGAATGGGTTGAAAGCATCCACAGTTTCTCATTCTGCACTTTCTTCTGATTTGTACAGCACGAATATTAAGAAAGAATCATCTAACGTAAAACAATACACGTTTCATGAGTCTGATAAAGGTAAATTGTGACTATTAAAAGTCGTCTGTAGATTTTATTCCAATCATGAAGCGTTCGTGTGTTCGTGTGAAGGCTTGTTCCTTCTATGGCTGAACAAGTCATCCTTTAAACATACAATATTAACACTGCGTTCTCGGCTTATAGATAAACCGACGTATGGCAGAAAGTATGCTTCTCATGGATCAAATCTAATAACCTTAATAATTACTGCTTTACTACAGTAGATGGCATCATTAAATTATCAAATGTCGCTCGGTAAAGCACGCTTAAGTATAGTGAGACAATTGTTTGCCAGCACCCAATGTCATTTTACTGCAAGTAGACACATTCGATGGATGGTTACAGCGGTGTACGAACAGGCGACACACTGTTCCGGTTCGGCAATGTGTGGGGAAAAGGAAGCACACTTTATTTTGCCTCACATTAAGCATTTCCTAGCTGCGCCGTCATTAATTTTCCATTGCTGTCATCTTAAGTCAAGGTTACTAAGTAGAGTCGACCAATACAACCTCATTTTATTCACCATCGTGGGGTCCGCTGCGGACAGCATGCAACAGCGCGCTTGAACGGCGTACCAGACCAATGTGTTTATTTTCAGCTCATGATATCACCTGTAAGCTTGACGTCACTGGATGCTAATCGACGCTGATGAATGGCGAAGCGACCACTCACCCGACAGTTTGACCGCAGCGGTTCATCAACCATATCGAGAGTGAATGCGCGTGGATCGATGAGCATTTGTGGCTCTACAGATTGCATATTGGTTGTTAAATTAGGAAAGCCGTGCTCTTAATTTCTAAGCATTTTTCACCCGAAATATGCGTAGCTATCACTAAATAAGTAAATAAATTTATATATTTACCAAAAGACGGTACACAGCCCCATAAGTGGGAGCGATCATTTTTAATTAAGGTAACACGAAAGTTTAGTGACCTATTTTCTTTACCTTACGTAGGCTGTTCTGCTTTTGAAATGGGATCTAAGACTATCACCAAATTACAAAACCTTAGTGGCTACAACTGGACTTTGAGTACAGGCTTAGTTTGTTTCGTTAAAGGTGCTGTTAGCAGGGTTTTGTAACTCATCTAGCTAACGTAGCTAATACTATTTACCAGGTGTTCCCTTAGCATTTTAGTGTCTACACTTGTGGAACACAAAACTAATCCGCCACTGTTATGGAGTGAAGCACGATTGGTTTATTTTTCTTTATCCTCCTACAAACTGGAACATCCAAACTACCTTCGGCAAAGCCTACAATATCGCTAAACCGACAGACGCCGGTACTACCAAGAGTCGTACCACTTAGGGAACTTGTGTTGATTAATCTATCCAAAAGTGAATAATAATAATATTAACCTAGATCGCTGAAGACGCCTATAAAAATAAGCACAATCTTAAAATTGTTCGGAAGCTACTAATTACATCCGGCAAGTCATTAACTTCATCGGCCACTTTACCTGCAATATCATCAAAGAAGCGGTGAAACTATCGGGTTCGATCAAGTATGGGCTACGAAATTCCTGAGACCAAAGCAAACTCACCAACTGGAAGACGGCAGAACGAGCTAAACATGTGAAACTTCGTTTGTGACCAGAATGGTGTTCAGAAGCAACCTGCTAACGTTATACATGTTACTGGCACCGATACTCGGAGAAATATGATCAACCCCGTTTAATCAGAATAGCACTGGGGTTGGTGAAGGATACAGAACCATTTCACTTATCGGCATGGTCATACATACATATTCCAAGATGCTCCATTGAGTGAAGATCAACGAGATAGTAAGGAACTGGAAGACCGCAAAGTACGCACCTACGAAGGAAACATTCTAACCCATAGTCTACCCCAGCTGTCAGTGCCTATATACATATATCTACATCAATTTATATTTATATATATTACAAAACCTGTGGTACAGCTACTGTACCATCAAAATCATGGCTGAATAGCAAAACAGCATGAATGATACGAAAACAACTACTACAATAACAACAACCAAAGCCAATTTTTGTCCAGTCTGCCACTCGCAGTTTTGGAATATCTTAAGTTTCTTTTATTTGCGGGATGAAGGAATGACACCACAACACACCGACGCACACGTCCGCCACTGACATCCATCTTGAGCCATGGTTTCCAAGGTGTTCTACCAGCAATTAGCCGCATCACTCAGACCCCAACCAGGTAGTCGATAACAACCGGCTGAAGTTAAGTGTTTCGTTCGTTTTTCATGCAGCTTCTCCAAGTTGCGCATTGTCCACCAGACCGTTTATCCCAGGCTTGCCCAGCGACCACGAACAACGCACGACACGAGTAACGCTAAACAGGCATGCGCAATATGTGTCCCAACCACCGCAGTTGATGCCGTGAGACAAGCTCCTCGAGAGAATGGCTTCCTCGTCCTAAGCCGCTGTTTAACTTCCATATTGCTTACGTGGTGCCGCTACCACACACGGGTAATGGACTGTGCTAGAAGACAGATAGCCTGCGCAAGTCATCTTTTCGATTGGGCAAGGTCACGCATCCGTATAAGAGTACAGCATGAACAGTTGCATAATAGACCCGCCCTTTGATGGAGAGACGAATGTCGTGGCGACGCCACAAGCGCCTCAGCCTAGAAAAAGCGAGACGTGCTCTTGGAATGCGCATCGAAATCTCGTCTCCAACGGCCCCTCCAGCAGTGATGCAACTTCCCAAGTAGACAAAGCTCCCCACAACCTCCAGTGCCTCACCAAGAGTGAGTGCAGCCACAGACACCTGCTAGTCAAGCAAGAGAGCCTTGCATTTCTATGGCGAACAGTACATACTACACCTTGTTGCTTCAATCGCCAAGCGATTTGGTGCCATATGGCCTGCGTGTGGATTGTCACCCAGCAAGAAGCTACCGTCAGCATAATCCCAAACAACAACTTCACTACCTGAGAGGCGCTCAACGCCAGCGTTCTACGAAGCACATAGAGCGTTCTTTAGGACGTCCTCAATGACAAAGTTGTATAGGAACGGGGATGTAGGGCATTCTTGTCCAACTCAACTGGAGACCATAAAGAAAGGAGAAAGTTTGCCACAAGCCCTAACCTTTCCCGTGGTAAGACCATAGATAGCGTGCAGTATAGAGAGGAAATTCTCAGGGACGGCATTCCTGTGTACGCACTGCCACAGTACCGTCCGATCGACAGAATTTTATGTTGCGCGGATATCCAAGAACGCAGCAATCGTTGGCTTCTGATACACTTGTGGAGCACGAGGATGTGGCGAAGTGTGATGATTTGATGAATGTAGCCGCGACCAGGGCGAAATCCAGCTTGTTGTTCTCGCTGCAACCATTCGCATGTTGTGAATAGCCTGCGAAGTATAATAGACACCAGCAGCTTGCAAACAAGGGGGACTAAGCCGATGTCTCTGTATTTGGACCGGATTGTGAGCAGACACTTTTTGAAGTTGGGGACGAGTATCGATTCATCCCAAGATGCTGAAAGTTCCTATTCGACCGCACTTTCAAAAACAATGCAGTGTGTTCTCGAACCAGCAAAGCGCTACCATCTTTAAATATAGCTGGAGGAAGATCATTTAGGCCGGAGCTTTATAAAGCTTCATGTGGCGAAGATCCTGTTCAATGTTTTGGCAAAAGGGCGGATCTGTGGAAGTAGACCACTCGGCACTAGTGCGAGCGCCAGAGGTATCAGATAGAGCTTGGTGCCAAATAAAACTAGGAGCCAAAATCTTTGGCCGATCGCTCCAACCGTCATTAAAGATTGGTGATGAAGGTGCCATCCTCTTCGCATGTTGTTTCACTTATACCGGATCAAACAACTTCGGTGACTCGAATCCGATGGAAAAGTTTTCTGGTAATATCAGAGACTAGCAAGCTCCATCTCCCCAGCAGGTTTATACCACAAAGCTTCGCGGTCCATTTGCAAACTCCTGTGCAACTCTTGACCCAGCCAATAGCGTTCTTTACTGTTTCTTGAATCCGACGGTTCAAGCGGTCTTTGTCCATCAGCGACAAGGAGAGGGCAAAAGTTTAATGCTTCAGTGGGTGAAAGGCAACTTCACAAGGGTCGATACTGGCGGATACTAAAGCATCTTTTTTATGAGCTCACTGCGCACTGAGGTCGCAGTCAACAGTTGAGCAATGCAAGGTTGACAATGAGGCTTGGTACTTGGTTGAAATCTCATTTTTATGTAGATTTGCTACGTCCGGTCCGTAGTGAGTCCGTTTGGGTGATCCTCGCATACAAAGCTTGAACGAACCAATGCGTGATGCGAGCCTAGATAAGTTAACCAGTATGATAGGCAGTCCGTTACACTTCCACGCCATCTGTAGCTGATGGCTATGTGATCAAGCTAAAAGCACTCTTGCGTTTGTGAGGGCGGGCGTTAGGTAGCAGTGTGTCTCATCGATTGCCAAAAAGTAGTGTTCAAAAGAAACAAGCGATGAGCAAAGCAAAGAGCAAGCAGTGTGTCTCCATTGTCTGATTGACTGCCACCGAGACCAAAACTAATGCCATGTTGGTGCTCGCTTGGTGGAAGGCGGCCCACCAGTGCGCTAAAGTCTCCGGCAAAGAGGATTATATCAGACCTTTTGGAGAAATGTCGCACTTCTTGTAGCGGCTGGTAAAATCTATCCTTGAATGAATTTGGGTTGAGCTATGTTAGGGCGTAGGCGGAGACGACAAACAAGGCGCGCTTAATGTCACGACGCCTGTTTATATTAAATGAACCTCTTAATCAGATTGCGCATAGCCGACTGTTGACTGGGACTCACTCAAGCAGAGCTGCTTCAGCCCTGGCACTCAATACAACCCCAACCCCAACTTGGCCAGAGGCGGTAACTTCTGAGTCTCAGGAAAGCCGCAAGTCGTATTTAACTTCAGCGTTTACCCCAGAGATCATTATAATGTCTGTGCCAGTGTCTTGTAATCTTGTCCCTGAAAGGCAACATATACCTACCGAGAGCGTTCCTAGAGTACTGGCCAAACTTGTTTGTCGTCCGATCTGCACAAAAGTTTAGATATTAAACGCTGCGAGGATGAATGGAGGATCAAATTAAAGAAGAACTAGAGCTTTGGTAGGGTGTGAGATGGTTGCGATTACCGGACATAGAAAAATGGGATTATGGCTTTTACCTCCATAAATTGTGAGACGTAGGTCGTGTGAAGTGACCGAAGAAGACATAATAGTACATAGTGGTGAAGGATGGGTGGTGGGGTGATCCGTGAGTAGAGGTTGAGCAACTGAGTTAGCAGAGAAGATAGGCATAGCAATAGCAGTAGTAAGCAGTGTGGTCCATGATTTGTCAATTGGCGTGATACTACCTGTTTGTCCAGGCCGATGTAGAAGGTTGCTTTAGGGGGCCCTGTTAGGAGCATTTGATTAAAGATCTAACCTACAAGGCAGCAAGGCGATGTAAGGGCGTCGCAACCCGTTGGAATTCGGTGACCACATAGACGGTTTATGCGCCTTTCGGTCCTTGAGGAACCAGGGGCCCAACGCACCCTTGAAGTACAATGCCTCTCAGGGAGGGGCAAGGGGCAGTGACTTTATTTAGTGACCAGTCATATCCGCCATGTTGCAGTGTTGTTAAATAGACATTTGTGCCTTTCTATAGAGAGAAAGCTTGCCATGCGAAAACCCACCACAACCTAGAACATTACAGCCGAACCACTTGCTGAAAAGGGGGAATCCCGGAGCACCCAGCTGGAAACAGGTGGGGGTTGTTCGGCAAACCAACCCGAGCTGTCAGTAGTTTTTGTTGACCTAGTCCAAGCAGATATCCTAGAAGAGTAGATCTATATTGTGTTGGAACCATTTTTCTCACCGGCGACATGGTTTTAATGTTAGTAAAACTACCTGCTTTCCCCATTACAAAATATGCCACCCGATATTGAAAATTGTAGTTCAATCGTTAGCGATGACTGACAAGAAACCCGCACCAGACTGCCTTTCGAATCGCATTTGAAAACAATAATTTCGCAACTGCCTCTAGCGGATAACTTCGCTGGCAAAGCAATGCCGCCGAGAACTCAACCAATTCACTTTGCCCACTAATGTGACTGCCGTTGGAAAGGATATTGATTGTGCAGTTTGGGACTTGGTTTCAGAGCTTGTTATGACAAGCAATGCAAAGCAAAAGATCCACCTCGGGCGGTAAGAAGCATTTTGATCTTTTCACCATATACCACACGGTTCTGATTTTGGGCGCGTTTCCTGCATGTACACAACTGCTCAGGGCTTACTCGGTAAAGTATGCGAATGGTGAAGTTGATGTTCCTCAGGATTACAGGACTTCATCGCTATCAAGAGAATATTTTCCTCCTGCGAGCTTACAAGTTAAAACGTTTTGATAAGAAGTTTGTTTGCTTTATAAGTACCTGAGACGGCAAAGGTGGGACCGCTGTATATTCTCCCAAAGGTCTCAACTGCGAACCCAGACAGGAAAATGAAACCTGTGCTTATTTGACTTAACATCGCCTAAGGATGAAAAACAACGGCAGTTGCCTCGCGGTGATCGTTTACCTTCCCTCATTGTCTGTATCTAAGGGGAACTAAAACATGGCCGTGGTGGTGATGAACAGGAAGCTGGGTGAGATTCTAATCACTGGTGACTTTAGTTTACACACTTAGGAATCCCAAGCCAACCTAGAAACAACATTACACAGCCGACGTACAGCAATTTATATCTAACTTGCTACTTTACGGCGGAGTCACTTAAGCAACCAGGTTCAACAAGGCAAACATAACATCGCTGCTTAATCTGATATTCACTGCAGAAGATTTCTTTTTGGATGAGCTAGCGGTTTCTGTTCCGGGTATTAAGGCAGTAGCTACAGAAGTGCTGGACGCAGATACCAGTTCAGTAGAAATCATTTACCGTTTTCACAGTTTTCTAAGTTTAAGGTAGCGCCCAAGTCTTAAGTGATGAGCAGGCACGTGGAGCTATACACAGGCAATCGCTCACTGAGTACGTTAGAATTAAACTACCATATGCGGTGGGAATATGAACAGGTGAATATAGCGGTGATGGTAATATTGATGTATTTTAGCAAAAATCCACTCTTGTTTGATGTATACTAGGACATTCTTGGTTTAGGTTTTGTCCGATGCGGAGGTAATAGAATTCCATTTGGATCGATGCCCCTATGACCTCGCTTGACCAGATTCCCTTGACGCTTCATGGAAGATTTTAACGAGGAATGGTGTTTTTGGTGGAAAAGGTTCGTAGCCTGAGACAATGATCCTGGACAGGGCGATTCATCTCACGGTACCTAGCAAACAAGCGTACTGTTAGTGTGCATATATCATACATCAGGGTAATTTAAATCGGTTAGAAATAATCAGTTTGAGTCTAATGTTATTAGAAGTTGCGTTGATATACTACCTTTAGTTCCAGCCTCATCCACTTCGGGTCACGCGCAAAGCACATCGGCAACTCTCCATTATCCGGCGGATTACGAAGCAACATTGGAAGCACTGCGTGCGTCCGAAAAGCTTATCGCCGAATTAAATGAAACAATGGAGGAAAAATTGCAGAAAGCGGATCAACTACGAGAACAACGGTAAGCTGTGGAGCGTCATTATTTTATTGGGAATACCAATCTAGAGTCAAGAAGAGGTATTATATGAACAGTAGAGACTGCTAAATAACGATGCTTCATATGTTTGCTTGTCGTAACTGTTTTGTAACTTATGCGTTTAGATGTCAAAAATTACCCCAAGTTATCTTCTCTTTGAGTCCTGACCTTACGTATAAGTAGCGCTTTGTTTAAATTATGATACTGCTTCAAGGCAAGCGTACTTACTGCTGCTACTCACAAGGGTATGTACAATAGCCTGCCAACAATGAAGTAAGGAACAGCACTCCGATAATTTGCTCTACAGTGTGTGGTGGTAAATTAATTCGAGACTCAAAGGGTTACCCCTTTGAATAATGTGTTCCAGTTGCTTTGCTTAAGGAGACTTTGTGTTATTTGATTCAGCTTTCTCTAGGGATAAATGTTTAATATAGACCTACTAACAACACTGCATAAATGCAATCGTATATAACCGTTTCATTTGTCAGAGAACGCGAGTTGCGCGAAATGGGTATCGCCTTAAACAACGAAGCTGGAGTGACTGGGATTTTCACACCTCGCAATGTAAGTGAATTTAGTAATACACTTTCCAATATTATCTACCAGATTTTGTTAGTCTCTAACACAAAAATTGCTCGCACAATCTCCCATTTTAGACGCCACATCTGGTGAATTTGAATGAAGATCCCTCAATGTCTGAGTGTCTGATTTATTATCTGAAGGAAGGTGCAACTAGGTAAGCAACTAGTGATGTATTTTCGAGGTCTTGTTTTCGTGCCAACTGAAGCTTATCGTTAAACACCAGTGGTTAAATATTTTGGAGCTCTGGTATCTCACTGGTTAATAAATCACAAAGGTTTAACATACTGAATGGGTTCATACAACTTCGATCTGTCAATTTCAGTAGCATGTGCTTTCATGTAATGAAAAGTGTTCCTACCGTCTTGCAAGCAACTTGAAATTTGTGCATTATTTGGCTTCTACAGATGATTCTAACATGCTTTCAGCGTGACATTCTGGGTCATAATATAGTAGTCTACCCTTCCATGACCAATGCAATTGGATAAAAACGAACTCCAACTTCATCGTGATAGTCTTCAGCCATGCAGTCCTGAAAATATTTACGTACCTGCGCCTATATTTGCTTATCACTGCCGCTGGACTGCAAACAGACACTGCATACTTGCTGTCATTGGAATTATGAAAGGTTTACCATTAGGCTAAACGGAAAACTATTGAGCAACATCCGATGGTAAGCTGATGGGGATAGCGAATAAGCACAACAGCCTTTTGAAGTAACAACACGCATAGCATTAAACAAACTGTAAGGAATCACTTGCTTGTATAAGCGCCTTCTTCCTGTAACGACTCTGTAAAAATGGCAATGCTTTGCATCCTCCGGAAAGTAGTAACCATGGTGATGTAAACTGACCAGCATGCTTCTTATCTGCATCCTTCGCGAGCAGAGCAATAATTGGCCTACTAATGGAGAAATTGCGCAACTAGGGCGTATTCACCTGGAGCGTATGTCAGATCAGGCAGCACGCGGCGTGGCACGTCTTGTAAACCAATGAACAGATGTCCACACAGTGAGCTAGGTTTGAGCTGGGCCTCGATGAGGGCAGCGGAATAATAATTGAGCTGCTTGTGGTATTCAGCGTGTACAAAAATCTATGCAGAAACAACACTGGCAGTATTCCATTGCGTCGGATGATACAAAGAGAGGCAGGAAAATGAGGTATAAACTATTTTTGCGGGTAATTGATCGCAGATTATTTTAACTACCTACGAAGTGTCCTATTAGTGGGATGAAACAAAAGCTCACGTGCATCAGTCAACTTCAGCTGGTGTAGCTGGACTTCTCTCGACTTAAAGCACGAGTCGACGTTCCACACACTTACTTGTGCAGAGGCCAGAGAAAGATAGTTCATATAGATCGGGTCGAAGCATCAGCCCAAATCTAAGTATGTAAGGACCATGTCCAATATGCGTGGCGTCCAGTGAATTGACTTTCTCCAGACGTTCGCTTCTTTTAGTCCACTGCTTTGGCGCACATAGCAGTAAATACACGCAGATAATCATGTACGTATGTCCACTGCCAGTAAATGTTCTGGGAAATCAAAATCGATTGATCGCCAGATATTTGACACATTTCGGCGCGCATGGGTCAGCATGTCTTAGACCATTGTCCTGGAAAAGCTTAGGAATATGTTCTTCAACAAATATTAGTAGATCGACCTGGTGATAGCAAACACTGATGTTAGCCACACTTTTGCATGCAAATTATCGACACTGCGACCTTGCAGTCAATGCATCCTCAGGACGGCTACCGAACCAACCTATCTGTTTTCCATGACAACTCAGTGGTATGAATTCCAACCTCCCGTTGCTATGATTACGGGGAGGAATGGGCAAAGCTTGAGCACAAACACGACCATTTGTCTACTCAGAATACATCAGATAATTTGATTACTTTTTACTAATCACCTTGTCATCGTGGCCACGAGGCTTAGCTGAAACAACCAATGGCTCTATCTTTCTGATGTGCTCTTACATTGATTGTTCCATGTGCCCACCGGTGTCTGGGGGCTTTGAAAGCTTACAGACGAGGATGCCCTTAAGCATGTCTACTCGATTCATCCCAGCTTATACCGGTCCATCTAAAACCCTCGCTTATGGGTATCGGCCAATAATTTTATTTTTAGTATGCATTCGTGGAAATGTTGCCACCACATTCTGGGTTTTACAATAGCCGCGGCCACAGTTGATACCGATCGACCTCTGCTACGGATTCCTTACTTGAAATACACAACTTGCTAGTTGTTCACAAAAATTGTGCTACTATTTGTTCGCAAGGCAACTTTCTAGTTGTGTGTGAGCACTAATTAGTGCGAAGGAAACACACTAGCAATATGCAATATGCAATATGTATCTTAATGCCTTGATTGCGACGACGTAGTCCACTACTTGAGGAACACGCAGCAACTTGAGGTGGTGATTATCTGAAAACAGTGTCAATCAGGTGTGAATGAACGCGCGTATATTTCGTTTGTTTTAGGAACGCGTCTTTTAACCTTTTCCTATCCATGTACCTCTAAAAAGACAAAAGGAATGTTAGTGTGATGTATCGGCATAGTTGTTGTGGCACGAAAAGTTTCTGCAGAATCACAGTTCGACAGAAACGTAACACAGGACTGCCTTGTTAGGCATTGGAAATTCAGGCTAGAAGTAGCTCCTCTAGATGTTGGAAACATCCAAGTTGCTATATTCCAAAGTGTGACATGAACCCACTTTCTTACGGATTTTTTGGGGAGTACGCGGCGGATAGCCTGGCAGCTGATGGTTTCATTTGGGCTACGAAGGCTACAGTGTATATAAATGCAAACGATTTCAATTACACACACGGTAAACTTTGTGAACGGCTCGGACACTACGAATTGCAGTTTATGAATACAGGTGCGAAGACAAAATTCCGTGACTAACGCCCTAAAAGATAAGGATCTAGTCAAGTTCGCATTGCCAAGCGTTAGAGTACCCGCCAGTTTGAACCGTTATTAGATTTCACGTGCTGTTAAACACATGATCATGAGAACCTTATCTGGAGAATACAGATCCTTGTTTTTTACGATACCTACAACGGCAAAAAACATAACGTTTCAGGTAGCCATAATATGAGTTGAAATTAGAACCAGGGCTCTCATGACAACGTCCGATGCCTTCAGTAGTAGAGTCGTGAAACACATTTTAGTCAAAAGGGATTTACTCAGTTGCATATTTCCCAATCCAGCATAGGCTTCTTTGCTACGCAAAATGTTCTTTTGAAATGGCTCCTGATAAGCATTCCGGGTCACATGTCTGCCACACCTTCGGTTTGCGAAAACTCGCGGTGTGCTTTCCACTGAGAGTAGGAGGCACCCTGCTATCCCAATCCATAGACGCAGACATGAGACCCACCGTCACTCAAGGCAACTCTTCTCCAGCTCACTCTGGCGGTTCACTGTTTGTTCATATTGTTGACTTGGGTCGAGATACACTTTAAAAATTGAAGTAACCTTCTATTTCAATACACATCGCCCACAACGTCTTTTAGGTCTGAGAGCGCTGATTTGGTGGCTGTATTTCTTCTGAGAACACAATGTCACAAACATGGATGTACTAGAGTGAACGGATAGGGTGGAGTGAAAGCCAAGGACATTCCTTTGGTAAAAATGGCAAATGTTTTAGGCAATAGTGCTGTCCTAAACCGCTTTTGTTTTCGTTTATTATCGTGAACACAAACACCCTGAAAGTTATCCGTGGCATCCAATACTCAGCCACGTATCGGTATGTAATAACATCCCTAAGCCTTATTTTGATCGAAAGATATTGAACGAACGTCATCTTTGATGCACTACTGACCCGCAGTCCGTGTATATTGTCCACGGGTGGGTGAACTCAAATGATAGGACTAGGGGGATGGAATAAATTTGGGATATTGTATTAGGCGGCCTTGCGAAAAGAACTCCGTGACACAGTTTCTAGATGTAAAGTGCGCCTGCGGCAAGTCGCTCGGAAAGCTGATGAAATCAGTCCGTCCTCATGACAAAGGTGGCTACGCGCCTGGCAGGACACGACTACAGCTGACGATTAGACAGCTCTAGCAAGTTTGAGTCTGTCTATAGATAAGTGACGTGAGTCAACCCATAAACATGCAGCCGGAGTGGATGGCGCGTGACCTATAAAGTTAGCCGTGTTCTTTTCATAATACACTTTGAGCTGGCATGTCCCGGTCTTTCGTTTTTATTCCCTGCTGGGTTTGCGGTGCAGAGAACAGAGACAAGGGCAGCGTTACAATATATTTTTTATCTGACGCGTTTGCAAGGCGATAATTATAGGTTGTGACAATCTAACTTCGAAATTTTTTCTGTGGCCACCCAGTCATCCATGATTCAGACGGATCTATTTTCCACATGTACAAAGGCTTGCGGCGTGACGAGAGCCTACTTGGTGACCGAAATGTCGACTGAAAATGGTACTACCACACTTGCAGCAACTTAATAGATTCATGAAGCCAGTAAATGAGATACTAGTTTTGCCCACATGAGCAATTCCAACAGGTGTTTATTACACAATAATAGAACAAATGAAATGCTAATTTGGCGGTTTGGTGTTGCTTCTCCCAACCCTGACACTTCATAACCGGTTTCGTGCTCCTTTGGACTTATCTGTTGGAGATAGCCTGAGTTGGGGTGGACCTCAAGGCCTAGTGTTCAAAGGTTGACGCTTTGATCACTGTGGGTCTAAAATCCGCGAGTAACGCTTAGCACAGCGGTAAAGAATTTCAAGTGGAGCCCCAGCTCAGGCTATCTCCATCTGATGAGTCCAAAGGAGGACGAAACCGGCTGTGAGGTGTCAGGGTTGGGAGGAGCAACACCGAACCACCAATTCGGATACAGTCCTTGTGATCGTAATGACCGAGTTCTGAATAGATATTGCGAGTCGCAATCCAACCATACAGCATGTACACCAAATGCCACTTGGAATGCCATTTTGTTTGTGTTGTCCAGCTCGGATCAAATGGTTCGCTGGTGCTTGGCCTGCCATTTACTGTCTAACACTCGCTTAGTTTCGCAGCCACGGTGCGAGAATTAATGAGACATTATCATTTTCTTCACTGCTGAAAGCGTTTTTCGATCACAAGTTATTTTACCATCAAAAATAGATACAGGTAATTTGGCGGAAGACAGTTTGCATTTC